TAGATTAGGTTCGCTTATCGATGATACCGGACACGATTGTGTACTCTAGTTACCCATATACTGAAAGAATGTACACTTCAGACGACAGTCCCTCAATGAGACTGTGTCCAGACTCAATAGAAACGTAAACAGACGCAGGAACCGTTGGCCATTGTGTTATATTTGGTTACACTGTCACACGACACGGAGTTCAAACGACACTATCACAGAGTTCAAATCGTTTGGCTAGTCAATGTGTCCACGGAAACCCTATTCCATTACCACCGAGGCTCGTTATCGCATAGGTCCGTAACATACCCATACAGGCAATGGGGAATCCCCCTATGCTCCGACACATAGTACCGTAATACATCAATTAGTTCGCGGCAGCAAAATAATTGATTTTCAAGTGCGCGCAATAATATGAATGGAAATTATTCATGTCTCATGTGCTAATTAAATCAATACTTTTTAGTCCATTCAATAAATCGTAATTATTTGTGATATGAATGGAAACGTGTGTAAAGATGGCCCGCAATATTAGCTTCAGCGAGACACAGACGGGGCTCAGAGACCAATGGTAGAGCTATGCAGAAGTTCACAAATCAGCCAAAAAATTACGTGACATCCAGTGTACGTGTGTTCAAGTCGTACATTCACATAATTTGTTTTCCCAAAAATAATGACACAAGTTTATTGCTAGAATAACACAGATTCAATCAAAAATCAGAGGCGGCGGCACGAAACTTTTGCGTGGGGCGAGACGGGGGCCCTGAAACGCTATTTTTTGCATTTTGAGGGGCAACATTTTGCTGGCACGAACGGTTTCAGCTTGATTTTGGAGAGGCGACGTCCCCAATATTTTTTCGAGGAGGCGAACTCCCCCTCCGTCACTGGAAATTCACAATTAGTATGGCAGCGGCAATGAACTCAAGATCGAATTTTCAATTTGATAATGCCGCGTTTACTACGTGAAAATGCAATATTACTTTTGTCCCACTTTTAACATATAGAGTTAATACGTACTGTGCCTAGACCATATTCACATTTTCAGGCACTCCACGTCTGGTACCCTCGCAGTGTGTCCTCTAAGACGATATGGCGCAGGAAAAGTTGTCGTGACGCAACTAGTTAATATGCTAATTCACTGGCACGACGAAACATACATCAAGCAGTCAACAAGCTGATTCATCTTGATTTTGGGGAATATCATCCATTTTGACTCAGGATCCCTACAGAGGGCACACGTGTCTGGCATTCCTTATTTGGCAAGTTATAAGGTTCTAACCAATCATCTATTATTACTTACCTATAATTATAACATTATGAAAGAACTTTGCGTTGTGTCGTCACATGACGCGCTGTCTTTGCACAGACACATTTCCTGGGCAGAGTTCTACTAGGCAGAGTTCTATTTCTACGAATATATCTCTGCCACCACGCGATCTTATGCTTGTCTTTGATTGGTCGATGCGTTACAGTGGTACTACTTTCAGAGACACCCACCAAAACATTGCCATGCAGGTGTTCGATTTTCAAACCTGACGAAAGCATACGCGTTGTTTGTGGATTCTGGTTATTTTCAAAGTGAGAAACTCATTTTTTTACTGTCCGTAGCACAAACGGTGTGACAGTAGGACGAGTTAACCGTCAATGCCACTAAGTGCTTTCGTTTCTTTATATTTCTTCGCCTGGCAATCGACGGGACGGTCACCTTAGTAACGTAAGCCCCACCCTGTTCAACCTCTTTGTCAATGACCTCCCAAAGGCCTGTGACCCACCATTCTTAAATAGTATCAGTTTTAGCAGCCTTCTCTATGCTGATGATATGGTCATTATGTCAAAATCTAAGACTGGTTTGCAAAATGGAAGTACCGAAAAATCGAAAAATCAAAGAGATTGCTAAAACATACATTTTTTTTTTTGAAAGGAAGGACCTGGATATTAAGAATTCAATCAATTCGTCTAAATATGTTTGTGCCCTGGAAAAAAGACAGTATGTAAATAAAACGATTGGAAAACTGGCTAAAGAAGATGGTTCAGAAATTATAGATCAAGGAAATATTTTGAAAGAAATGAAACAATTTTACAAAAACTTGTATAAATCTGCCAATCAAACGGTCGGGGATATTTCTGATCGAAATTTTTAATTTCTAAAAACAAATATACCAAAATTATCAACAGAAGAAAGAAATTCGTTAGAGGAAGAGCTTACAATACAAGAATGTGCCAAACATGTCGGCTAATATCATCAAAGACCTGGAAAAAATAATTTTATTTGGAACTCTAATTATGATAAAATTAATAGAAATAGAATGTGCCTAGAATACAACGATGGTGGCTTGAAATTGACCCATTTATTATCATTTATGAAATCTATGAAATATACCTGGATTTATAAATTACTCAGTGATGACTTTTATACATGGAAACAACTTTTTAATAGTCAATTAAAATTTAAACATCACTTGCTCAAGCGTATGGGGGAAGAACAAATACGTTATATTAGACATACAGTATTGAGTGATAATCCATTTTGGAAAGATGTATTTACTGTATGGGAAGAAATTTGTATTACCAAAACAGAAGCTGATTATATTGTAAATCAACCACTTTGGTATAACCCAGCAATATTGGTAGGAAATAACACTGTAATGTATAAGAATTGGTATCACGAAGGAATTGATGTAATTGGGGATTTATTGGATGAAAGTAAAATCATTATGTTATTGAATGTATTTGGCCAAAAATGGAATATTACTCCAAAGTTTCTTCAATATCAATCTTTAATTACTGCAATCCCCCAAAATTGGAAAACAAAACTGAAAAAAAAATAAACAGACAACATGCAAGACGGATGTCTGTTATATTCCCAGTGGCAATAAGAAAATATCTAAAACTATTTATAGTTACTACATTCGTCAATTATGTCTATAAAAACAAAACCACTTACTGCTGTAAAAAAGTGGAGTGAGTTCTTTTCTTTACAAACTGAAGAATTTCAAGATATTTTCATTCTGCCATATAAAAATACGGACGATGTATCATTGAGAAATGTTCAATTTCGATTATTACATAAAATTACACCAACTAACAGATACTTTCATTTAAGAAATTTGGTAGAGGATGAAAGATGTTCTTTTTGTTGTTTGTTTGTAGAAAGATGTCATCATTTGTTTTTTGAATGCCCCTATGTGCTTGAGTTTTGGACACAGGTAGAAAATTATTTAGAGATTAACGGCAATAATTACATACAATTTTCTCAGAAAGATATAATATTGGGCATACCTTTACATTAAAACAAAAATCACCTCTCCCTTTTAAATTTTCTGGTAATTTTTACGAAATTGTATATTATGCGGTATAATTGACACCAATGACTTGTCAATACCTCTTGCACTCTTTATTTCTTAGCGTTAGTTTCGTCCATTGTTAAGTTTTCAATTGTAACACTTTTCATCTCTTTCGAGGGATGCTATGTGTCAATAAATAAATACTAAATTTCACAATGTTTGAACAAACTTTGATTTATAAAGTTTGCAACTTGGGATTTATTTTCACCCATAAGTACGGGCTAAGATTTAAGCTAATCCCTATATGTTTGCATCAGTTGCATATTGGCTAGAGCCAATTGCGCTCACGCACGGGGGAAACAGCGATTGGCGTGGGCTAAGAAACACCCAACCTTGTTATGAATGTACTGTTAACTATGATTACTATGTACAGTAACCAGGAAGGTATACATGTTAATACATGTTAGTTCTACAGTTATAAAACAATATCAATTCAAATTCAAGATAACAGAATTGCAGAATAACAGGATGAATCAGTACAGATCAAGTCTCATTGTCAGTTCATTTTTCGTCCCTCGATTTGCGTTGATTGATTGAAATGAATAGTTATGAATATAACAGTACTAGTGCTAATGATGTGTTGAAAATGAACGAAACTAGTGTCCAATATTACCAGGGGTGAAACAACATGAAATGACGAGCGAAATGAGATAACCATAAAAAGATGTGTAAATAGCAAGCATATAAATAAATATAAATCCCCGCCATTTGTTTTACTCATATTTTCACCTCGTACATTTTGCAATGTTAGTGGTTTGATGTATCGAACAGCTGTTACAGTAGAACACCAACCACGAAGATCTGTCAGTGTTCTGACTGGAATAATATCTGAACTCCACAAAATGGTTCTCGTGCTTTCCGCGTCACCCGGCCTGGCATATCGTTAGCCAAAGGATTCTTTTTCTGAAAGGCTGCATTGACATGGTAAAAAATAAACAATTGATCTATTAGACAAAAAGTCTCGTCGCGAAGCATTTTATCCAAAACAGCAAACTCTGCACCTTCTATATTCATTTTCAAGACCACGAAGTCATCATTAGTCACGTGTTCACGTAACCAGGCACTGAAATCCAGGCTTTGCACTTTCACCGGATGTGTGTCGTTCAGATTACGTTTAGTGCCAGAAATAGACGTGCCCCAGTACCCATTTGTTTTGGCAGATCGGTCAAGGTATAACATAACTCCTAAATCATCCACCCATGCTGCTGTCCCGCTATAGAGTTTGAAATGAAACTTCTTTTGCAGTTGATGTAATTCATCACTGTGAATCTCATCTGCTTCAAAGGCGAACACTTTCCACTTCGATGGTTCGTAGTCGTACGGTAACTCAACATATGGGTTGTTTGATAAATCGGCTGATAAAGTGTTATAAAATACCTGCAATGTGTCCCCTCTGTTAGCTCCTACATCAATGTACACAGTGGAACTTTTGGCCGATTTATATTCTGTACATTGCTGTACCGCGACTGTTAATACACTGTAACAGAGTGCCGACATTACTGCGATGAACAGCGTAAGTATTATAGTTATAAACATAATTGTCCTCGAGTCTCCCATTTTGTAGTATGCTGCGTCTTTGAGTATTACATTAGTATTATAAAACGTGATCAGCGTTCAGTATAAATGTATAATGATATCCTATTAGCGGCAGCAGGTGGCTGCTGTGTCATTGTATCCTAATCCATCAGTTGTTTTTCTGTGCAGTCAGTTTGACGTTACGTACAATTGCTGTCAACAAAGTGGAATGATTGATGTAATGTTAGATGTAAGTGCAATAATAACATTGAAATGGGCGTGTTTCTCTTCAACTTTGTTTGTGTGTTATTAAAGTTGCGCATTGCACCGTGAAGATATATTCAATTTAATATATTTTGTGAAAGGGTCATACTAATATTGAATATGCCACATTTGCGATAGAATCATAGGCAATGAACAATTCTGCGAAAGGACAGTCGTATGCATTATACATCAGCCGAATGTTCGACATCGGGAGCGGCCAATCGGCGACAGCTTCCCAGCAGATGATTTCCTGCCATATTTTATACCAGAATATGTAATGCTGCATTGTACAGAAACATGTCAAGTGTGTCACTTTTTGCGGCCGTAAGAGTCATGTTACGAGGGGCGTTCAATAAGTAATGCCCCTTACCCACTTCCAGTTGTCTGATCTAAATGAAATTTTGCATGTCTAATGATTTACATCTCTATGGGTTATGTTGCCAAAAAACAGCTCTGAACTAATTGTGGTTTCTGATTTACAGGTGTTTGAACTGAGTCAGGTGTGAAATGGAGCCAGTTGAGTGTCGCTCAGTGATCTGGTTTTTGTATTTGAAAGGACGCACGCCAAAGGAGACTTTTAATGAAATGAAAGAAACTTATGGTGATGATGCCCCGTCATATGACCTTGTAAAACACTGGTGATCCAGAGTCTAAAGCCCAGTCAATGCAGTGGAAGTACTTGGACTCACCATCTCCGAAGAAGGCAAGGGTGCAGCCATCCGCTGGCATGGTCGTGCTCACAGTCTTCTGGGACCAGGACGGAATAGTGATGACAGATTTCCTGACAAAGAGGACCACAATTACAGGAGTCTATTACACTTTACTTTTGACGAAATTAAGAGAAGCTATCAAAATCAAGAGGCGGGGCAAGTTCATCAAATGTATCCTCCGCCTGTAGGACAACGCTCCGGTCCACAACTCGCATGTCGCCAGATCAGAAGCACGGGCATGTGGCTATGAAATCCTCCCCACCCCCATTACTCTCCTGACCTTGCACCCTCTGACTTTCATCTATTCCCAGCCGCGAAGTTGTTTTTTGAAAGGAAAGCGTTTGCCAGATGATGCAGCCTTGATTTCTGACGTTACTACGTGGTTGGAAGACCAACCTGGGGTGTTCTACAAAAACGGTGCCCAGAGCTGCATCAAATGATGGGAGAATTGCATAACGCTGGGTGGTTTCTGTGTAAGGAAAGACTAATAACTGTGCCATGTTTCATTAATCTCCTGCTATGGGAAATAGGTCAGGAGCATTACTTATTTAACGCCCCTCGTAAATGTATCAAGAATCCAATCACCGACTTCGAAGTTTATAAATGTGACAAATACTAGTACGCCAATGTCATATGCAATATGATATATAGAAGA